GTGTCAGGGGTGCCTGGGCATTTGCTGGGTACTTCCCACTCACTCACAAGGAGATGCTAGAAGCCCAGCTCCTCTGCCTTTAGTGGTGTTTGATCCGTCCCCACGTCTGGGAAGTGACAGCCTGTAAGGTTTGGGAGGAGTTGTTTCTGTGTCCCTGAGTCTTGGTTTCCTCATCTGTCAGAGAGGAGATGATGCCTTCTCCCCAAGAAGATCCATGTGCCTACAGATGCAAACACACTTCCAGACCGCCAGCGGCCATATAGACCTCGGGCATTAATAATAATGGTTCTTGTGGCAATTGAATTTTTCTTTGAAAAAGTATTTCCCTTCCTAAGATACCTTTGATTGAGAACATGATAATGCTCTTTTTTATTGGAGAAAGCTCCCAGTACATTTGTGAAGGTCGAAAGCCACCAGCTTTTTCACCAGTAGACAGGGCAAAGGAGCGGTGACCTCCTCGGGGGTTCTGGGCACTTGAAGGTAACAGGAAGATCAGTGACGCTCTTTGTGGAGCAGAGGTTTGTTTCATAGCCCGACTGGGGAAGACTGAAATTCCTTAGGCTTCTAGATCAGAGGGCAGGAGGCGTCCCTGAAGGGGAGGGAAAAGCTATTGAAACTTTTATGGGATGGTTTCCTTTGTCAAAAGAATCCTCTACATTCCAGCCCCTCCGACAGCATCTTGTAGTACTTTTTTCTGAGGACCTGGAGGAGAACCTTTTAAAGGGATTTTGCTTATGGATTGTCAGGAGCAGACCTGATATTTAAATTTTAACAGTCTCGGCAAGCTTGCAGCTCAGAGGCTTGTGAATGAGCAAATCCTTCCCAAACTACTTTTTTTTTTTGGTACAAATCAGAGTGCCTGTGAGATGGATCAGGTTCATTTGTATTAGTGCTCGGTTTAATCTCTCTTCCTGCCAGACCTTTTATCTTCTAGTAGGAAGAAGGAAAAGAATAAATAAAGAGTTCTGTAGATGCAGCCCGCAGACTGAGCGGGACCCCAGGGTACAGGGCAGACTAATAGGCCCTGTTGCCTATCATCAGCAGATCCCCCGGATGGGGTTACACACTTTGAGGAGTTGTTTATACTCCGAGTGAAGGAGCAGATCCCACGGGGCAGAATCTGGGAGGGAAGGCACCTGGGCGGGCAAGGCAGCGGGTGCCCCTGCCCCGCCCCCCATGCCGACACTCACCGTCTCAGTCCGCGGGCTCCCCCATCGTCCTTCTGACTCTGCCCCCTTCTGAACTTGCACCATACGGTTTACCTGACCGAGCAGGTGAGCCGTCCGCTTACTGACAGGCTCTACGGAAAAAGAAGAAGGAGAGAAAGGATGTTTTATCGAGCACCGCGTCAGTCAGGTGCCGCTCTAATTCGAGTAGGCGGCACTCTCCAATTAGAGCAGTCCGGGAGGAAGTTTCCAAAGGGAAGGTCTCCCCAGGTGTGGAGCCTTGTGACTCAGGACACAGAGGCAAGGGTTGCTGCAGGGTCCAGACAGAGAGGTGGCCTAGAGCTGCCCCCATGAGAAGAACAGGGGGATCGCCCCATGAGTAAGAAAGAGCCCAGCCCTGCCAGGCAGGTCGTCGGGGGCACAGGACAGGGAGGGGAAGGTGGGAAGGGTGAAGGGGACGGTGGGAGGGGGACCGGATGTCCGGCACTGGGATCCACCGCGGGCCAGGCTTTGTGCTGGAGGCATCAGTGCGCGTCTCTTCTTCACCACGACTGTCTTGGGAGTTGTGTTATTCCCCCATTTTTTTTTTTTTTTTTTTACCATTTAAACAAATGTTTAATTGCGGTAATATATGCATAACATAAAATCTGCTGTCTTAACCAGTTTTAAATGCACAATTCAGTGGCGTTAAAGTACACTCAATTGTACCACCAATCTCCAGAATTCTTTTCACCTGGAAACTGGAACCCTGTACCCATTAAACGGGACTCCCCGTCTCCCCCTCCCTCCACCCCTGGCAGCTGCCGTTCGACCTTGTGTCTGCGAATCTGACTCCTCCAGGGACCTCATATAGGTGGAATCCTACACTGTGTGTCTGTCGTGACTGCCTTATTTTCAAGGCTTAACTGTGTTGGAGTGTGTGTTTGAATTGCTTTTCTTTCTTCTTCCTTCCTTCCTTCCTTCCTTCCTTTCTTTCTTTCTTTCTTTCTTTCTTTCTTTCTTTCTTTCTTTCTTTTATCAAGGGTAAATAGTATTTCATTGCACGGAGAGACCACGTTTGGTCCATCCATCCATCCATCCACGGACGTTATGGCTGCTCCCACCTTTTGGTTGTTGTGAATACTACTGTGAAGATGGGCTCATAACAAATAGCTCTTTGAGCCCCTCCTTTCAGCTCTTTGGGGTTTATATTTTGAAGTGGAACAGCTGCACCAAATGGCAGTTCTGTTTTTAGTCTTTAGAGGAGCCTCCATACTGTCTTCCCCAGCAGGTGCACGATTCTGCATCCCACCATCAGCACACGGGTCCCAGCCTCTCTCCGTCCTCACCCACCCAGGCCATTCTCTGCTTTCTGTAGAGTGGCCGTCCCCTGGGTGGGAGGTGGGTGTCACTGTGGTTTTGACTTGCCCCCCCCCACCCTTTTTACAGAAGAAACTCAAACAGAAATAGACACCTGTACGTGAAAGAGTGGTGGCCAGCCGTGGACACTTGTGTGTGTTGTCTTCAGAATGAAAACTGTCTCCACTGGACTGTGACTTGGCAGGGACGGGCCCTGCTCCCCAACCAAGTCCAGTTACGTGGATGCGACAGAAGCCTCTTCCACGGGCCGTGTGGACAAATGGCTGTTTTCTGTACAGGAGCCTGCTTAGCGAACTGGATCACCACGAGCCATTTGGTGCTTCTAGAAGGGTCTCAGACTCCCAAAGCAAAAAGGCAAATTGGTGTGAGGTCTTCTGGAGTTAACTGGGGATGCACACGTGGCAGTTTTAAGGAAACATAAAGAGAAGGGGACCTTCATCAAGCATAGATTACCTATATCACCGAGAATCAAAGGCCAAGAACACTGAAATGCCCAGCTGGTGGTGAGGACCGCGTTCCCAGAAAGCCATTTTTGGAAGCAGCTTTATTTGAAATAATTAAAAAAGATTCAGCCTTTGTAGCCCAACTGGCTTCGTGCTGCAGAGCAGCGTAACTTTTTTGCTCGGGGATCAGCTAACTCCAGCTTAGCAGTAGACAGCTCCCTGTGAGCGTCCACGCGGGCTGCCCTCGAGAGCCTCATTTCGTTGTGAAGCGGTTTGTAGCTACTTCGTGGTGACTCCCAAGGACCCAGCATGCATTCCCGATGCGCTCCCGGCACAGACTTGTGAGTCCTGAGCGTCACCTCCTTGAGTTCTTCTGCTGTGTGCGGAGCATGCCCACAGCCCGCAGCGTCGGCAACGTGAGCCTCGCCTGACGGCATCGCGGAAATCATGCCTCGCCTCTCTGACCATCTCCGGTGTGGGTGAGAGGGAGGGAGTTTGGCACCTCTTCCAAGGAACAAGACAGACAATTTGATTTCCGCAAGAAGCCCCCTCTCTGACCTCCCCATTTCACTTCACTGATAACTTGAAAATGCAGTTCTGGCGTCCTGACGGTTCCAAATGAGAAGCGACAGTGGGTGTTCAAATTCGCTGCCAGGTCTTGTTTATTCCGGGGCATCATTCTGTGAAACGATGGGGCCAAAAAGCGTGTTTAAACTCTGTTAAAAAAAAAAAAAAAAATCCTACAAAGGTGTAGGAGCCCAGCAGAATCCCCTGAAGCCGTCCAGGCGAGGGCCCATTTGGCTGACGGAGTCGCTCTTGCGCACCTGCCCGCGGGCTGGGTGCAAAGATACCCTAAACTCGCTGCGAATTTCATTACGCCTCCCTTCAGCCAAAGCCACTGAGGGGTGCGGCGCTGTGATGGGCCGCCACGCAGATGGGTTGCAGAATGCACAGCCCGTCTGTCTTTATCGTGCTCATTTCCTCTTTTATTAAAACGCTAATGAATATCATTTTTATTTATCATTTGGTGACATGTGCGGCATCCTTTTCTGGGAGACAAATCTGCAATCTGCCTAACCGTGTGAGCTGACAGAGAGCGCAGGAGCGAGGAATATTTTGGTTGCGTTTAAGCTGCCACATGCAGTTTGAGCAAAAAAATTCCTTCACTTGTTGACAGCAGCATGGGGGACGACGGGAGGTACACCGGGCTTGGAGTGGGCCCCCGAGTTTCACGCCAGGCCCACGGGCTACCGGCTGTTAGCCATGTGGGCACGAGCCTTGGTTTCCACTTCTGTCACATGGGGCTGTCTGCTCTCTCTGCCCAGGAAAGCAGATGAGAGAACTTTATGGGGACGCGTTTCGCCTTCACTTGTTATCATTCAGACGTGTGCTCGTATGGTTCTGATTTCATTTTGCTCATTCTTTCAGACTCTCCGTGGAAAGTGCATCTGTCAAACGTCGGCCCCGAGATGACAGGCGTCACCGTGCGCGGCCTGACTCCAGCTCGCACCTATCAGTTCAGGGTGTGTGCCGTGAATCAAGTGGGCAAGGGTCAGTACAGCGCAGAGACGAGCAGGTGTGTGAGCGCGCGGCCCTCCGTGGTGACGAGGGGCAGCTCGGGCCTGAAAACAGGACGGAACGTCCAGTTAGGAGGAGGAAATAGATCCAAGTAACCACCCTGCCCCCTTAGCGACGTTGGCCACAACGTGGGCAGGAATTACCGTAACCAAGAGAGAAACACAGTCCCTCGTGTGTTGGCCTAGCGGGGTTCTCCCTAATCGCTCTGAGGGAAGTTTCTTAGACTTCCGTCGTGCCCTGGCGGGGCCGACACAGATCATCCCAGATCGCACAGGCCTCTGCATACATGCAGTGCACAGCTGACGGTGTTTCTGCGCCCTCTGTCTACCCCGGCCACCAGCACGAAGGGAGCTGGTGCCGCTGTTGGGACAAGTAAACACCGGGCCGGGCTCGTCGCATCCCCGAGTGGCCCTGCCGCTCCCCGGCCCTGGGGCGGCTGCTGTGGAAGCCCATTCAGATGTGACCTGCGAAAATGGCTTCCTCCCATCCACACATTCCTGCGTGCCCTCCCCAACTCGCCTGAGCGTTCACGGGGCCCGAATCATGGCATGATTGAGCTCTCAATGACTTTTTTCAAAATGTGGGAGTGTGACGCGAGAAATGTCAAAGGAGCCCAATGAAAAGCAATGTGGAAGGAGTCTCGGGCTGTGGGCCTGCAGACTGGCCCGCTCGGGCTTGCGATCCCTTCCCGGGCGGAGGTGCCGCTCCGCTCCTGACAGAGTCAGGTCACCTCCTGAGCCTGCCCTGGTGCTCGCGTAGCCGGTTTTCCGTTACGTTGCCTTCGCTGTACCCGCTTCCTGCCTGTCCTGCTAGCAGGATCAGCCGTGTGCTTTGCTCGGTTCATCCCTCGATTTTCTAAAGTAGTTGGGCTCCAGATTCAGTGAGACAGAGAATGCAGATGGGGACCCTTTGTTTCGGATGCCGATCTGTCTCTCCCTGCCCATATCTTATGTCTAGGTTGGTGTTACCCGAAGAGCCGCCCAGCGCTCCCCCGAAGAATATCGTGGCCAGCGGGCGTACCAATCAGTCCATCATGGTCCAGTGGCAGCCGCCCCCAGAGACGGAACACAACGGGGTGCTGCGCGGGTACATCCTCAGGCGAGTAGCCTGTGCTTGGCCGGCTCGAGGCTGTCGTCACGAAGTCAGGGCTCCGTTTCGCTGGGGGCGGCCTTGCAGAGAGCGTCTGCATATCCAGCCTAGCATGTGCACACCAGAACCCTGCACCGATGGTGACATTTGGTAGAAGATTGAAGGGGGACGTGATGAGTCGGGGTCAGGGTGTGCTTTCCATCGTGAATCCAGGGGCACACGTTATTTACTGTAATAATTTTTAACTAACAGTAGTGCAACCGATTTAATCATTAGCCAGTCGTTCCCATGCTGGCTAGCACGTTGTTCAGTATTGCCAGGCCCTCTAGTGTTTCAAAGAAATGTTTTAAAAACCTACCTTTTTACATGCGATCTCACAGCTTTTAAATGTCAGAAATGAAGTCGGCCCGTTTTGGACCACAGTGCAGGCCGAGCTCACTCTTCTGCAGGCCATATGTGGCCCCACAATGTGGCCGCTTTGTTTTCTCTGCCTTGTGAGGGTGGTCAGGCTTCTAAGGATATCAAGAGGGCTCTCCCAGATCTTGGCTGGGTTTGAGACGAGGAGTCCCTTTTGCCAAAACTACTGCTAATTTTGAAATTGCACCAGATGTGATCATTGCAGTGGTTTGTTGACACAGTAGCAAGCAGGAAAAAGAAAAGCAGCCTCAAAGGATAATTATGAAATCGCTTCCAACAGACCGTGCAGCCACGGACGCGTTTGTTCACCGACATGCACTGCGTGTCCCTCCCCAGCCGGTGTCAGCCACTCCCTTCCTCCCCATGCCAGGCCTCTGGCGCCCATTCTGAGCGTGTGACCAGAAAATATGGGTGAACAAAGGTCTCAGGGGGCTAAATGTAATTTCTTAGACAGATGTAAGAAGTTATGAAGGTATAGCTTTTTTAGCTCCGTTATCTTTGCATGTGGAGGACCATTCCTTCCCGTATATATTTACGTAATCATCCATTCATTTATCACACCTTTATCCACGTGACGTATAATTAGCCAATCACCAACACTTCCTGCTATTCTCAGGTCTTCCTCAAGCATGTGAATTGTCCTCTAAACATAAGCTAGGCCATCATCCACCTGACGGGGTTTAAGTGTGACCCCTAGGGGCCCACAGGGGCTGGAGGGCTGGAATCGGCACTCGGGGTCTCTCTGGTCACTCTGCCTCCAAGTGTCCTCCCCCTTCCAGCAAGACACCTGGCACAGGGGCACCTGTGGGCTCTGGGCGGTTCCCAGATCCCTCTAGAAAACTAGCTGGCCACCCACCCCCCACCCAGGTCTCCTGCCCGCTCCCGGGCCCTCACTTCAGCTGTCACTCTTGTCCCATGCTCATCAGCTAATGAAAATCATTGCCTTGCCCTCCACCGGGCCCTTCACATGCTTGTCATTTCGGCCACCTCTTTCTTTTCTTGAGCACACAGAAAAGGTTCCTCAGGCTCCAGCTGCCAAGTAAGGACTTTAAAAGTCAGCCTGCAGAACCAGGCTCGGGGCGTGGGGCTTAATAATGAAACCCCTCTGATGTTACAGGTCCCCGTCGGGGACTGCACATTTCTCCATTTTGTGGGATTACCGCTGTTAAAAGGATTTTCTGTGATATGTTGGGAGAGTCGAGTGCTGGGAAGGAGGGCATCTGTGTTTGTAGGGGTTTAAATCAAGGAAGTCCTAAAATGAGGGTGCACTATCCAAGGCCTGTGAATATCAAAGTTTTCAGAAATTAAAGACCCATGCCAAAACAAATTTGCTTGGAAACATTTCCGAATAATCCTCCGGTCTGCAAATCAGCTTTTTTTGCAAGTGTGCATCCTCCAGGGCACAAGACTCTGTGTCAGAGCCTTAGCACAGCCCATGGAAGAACAAAATGGAAATAAATCACCGTCGCGGCTCTGGCCGTGAGAAGTAGTTAGGATGTGTGCACAGTAATAAAATATTTATAATAATGGGCAGGGTGCTTCTTTGAGAGGAGCATAGGGGTTATGTCCTTTAAAAACATTCTTCTGTTTATTTCCATATAAAAAAATGATCTTGTTCTGTGCGAGACAGTCTCCCAGGCAACGTATCCCACCAGTGAGAGGGCGATGCCCTGTGCTTCTGTTATTAATTGTGACCTTCCCAGACATCCTGTGAATGTTACAAAAGCACCCGAGTCGCGGGTCGGAATGGGCCAGCCTGCCTGCTGCAGAAAGGAGAGGAGGGCGGCCGCTTCTAAGACATGAATCCTGTGGTCTGTTCCACACGATCCTATAAACAAGGATCCAGGAGATACGGTTCGTACGGGCTTCACGTCCTTCCTGGATGAGCAGTGTTCTCATAACCAGAAACACTTACAGGGTGCTTCACAGTGTCACGTCTCCTTTGTGTCCATCGTTTGGTTTTATTCTCACGAAAACCCAGCGGAAGGCCATTATTATGTCCTTCCCGGGAGTTCTAAACCAAGGTTCGGAGAAGTTAAGAGTTTGCTTGAGGCCGCCCAGCTCATCAGTCGTCTTCCCAGCTCCTTCGGGAGCTAACGTCTTTGCTTTTCCCTGGAATGTGTCATGCGTAGAGATGCCTCCACATTAATGAGATCTTCTCAAGTGACTGCCCGGTATGTGCCATATTGGTTATTATGAGTGGTCCCGGGCGCCATTCACACGCCAGGGCGCCCTGGTGCTGCCATGGGGCCAATCCTTGCCTTCTTCCAAATGGCTCTCTCACCGTCTCGGTGCTGTTTATTTTGTAGATGGGGAATTTGAGTGGGAGTACCTGGCTTGCGGGTTATCCCATGCCATGCCTGTGTCCCCATGGGCCGCTGCCTTGAAGGCCGTGATGTTACATAAATGAACTTAACCCCCACTGGGACGCAGGTAGTTCAGTAAAGGAATATCAAGTCAGTCGGTGTCAGAAGTGGATGGAATAGGAAAGCAGAAATGTGGTGTGAGGCATTGGCCCTGTTTTTGCCCGTCACGGGAGCACTGTCCGTCCCCCACGCCTCCGGCCAGGCGAGCCCACCTCCTTTCAGGCGAAGGCAGGAGGTGGCCTGGGACCTTCTCACTAGTCCGGTTCTGCCTGTTCTTGATCTTGTATTTTTCCCACCGCACGGGTCTCACCTGCACACATGGTCTGTGGCTGAAAGGCTGCCCTCGGGAAGTCCTGATTTTCTTGAAGGACCTTATGTTGCAGTCTCTGTGCTTTCATCCTCTTTGGAGAGCTCTGTTTTCCCTTGAAGGGCCTCAATTCTGGGTTTCTTCTCCCCTCCCCCACCGACGGCAGTAGCCTTGCTGGGCCTTCCCCTCTGTGCCCAGGCGCTCTGCCCGTGGCCCCAACCTGCCATCAAGAGTCCTCTCGCCCTGTGTCCCCTCGGCCCTCACCCTCTCCCTCTCCTCAGACAAAGCCACATCTTCCCGAGCCAAGAGCCGCTGCTCGGACAGGATCTGGAGGCTTCGGGAGCTGTGTGACGGCCAAGGCACTGTCTCCCGCCACCCGCCCCCGCACTCCACCCTGGGGAACCAGTGCACTTCTAAAAACCAAGTTGTGAAAAGCATTCGCTACCCCAAATGATGCCACAAAAGCCCTTGGGTAGTACATGTGGCAATTGCCTAATTTATACGTTTTCTAAGTCCCAGGTCGTGCATGTGACTTTTGAACACAGATACAGCGTGAGAAGTATTCCGCTTGTTCCACACAGTTCCTTCTCGAACACGGGTGAAATCGGCGTAGAGCACTGTATTAGGGTCAGGTGCACGCCGCAAGAATTCCGCTTTGTGTCTGCTGCAGCCTGACGACTGCAGCCAGCCCCGCCACCATCGGGAGCCGTACACGGAACCCTGCACCCGTTTCGTCCACGAAGGCCCCCTAACAAACAGCCCAGCCCATCCACCTCAGCATGCGACCAGTATTTTAGAAGTGGGAACACCACCAAAAGCCACTCGTTCTGGTTCTGGGGCTGCGTGAACAAATCTAGAAACCCTAGACGGAAGAGGCAGCGGGTCTCCCGCCTCTCTGCTTTTCCCCACGTTTCAGGACCACGGGAGGAAAGCTGTCCCTCCACAATCGTTATTTACGGCAACACCCGACACGGGAGCCGTGCCTGGAATTTCTGGTGCTAAGTCACCGCGCCCCCCAGGCGACTTACACTAAAAAGCTATAATTTTTCTTTAACCGTAACACAGTTGCATTCCACAGTAACACAGTCGGTTCCGTTTTGCCCAGAGCTCATAATCGCTGCAAGATTCAGTGACACCGCGTCTGAGGGGTTGGCTTAGGAAGCGGTGTTGTCTGGGGCCGACCTCTGGCTTCGCTCTTGTTCACTGACTCCATTTCCCTCCAACTGTGTGGAATCCATGCGGGTACCCCCGCATCCTGGTTCCAGCCGTCTCTCCACATTGCGATGCAGGTACCGCCTGGCCGGCCTGCCTGGGGAGCACCAGCAGCGGAACATCACCAGCCCGGAGGTCAACTACTGCCTGGTGACCGAGCTGATCATCTGGACCCAGTATGAAATCCAGGTGGCAGCTTACAACGGGGCGGGCCTGGGAGTCTTCAGCAGGGCCGTGACTGAGTACACCCTACAAGGAGGTAAGCTTGCTTTTCCGCGAGGTTGCACGGTTTCTGTCGGGGAGCAGGGCACGTCGAGTTTGACGAGAGCACGTTAGAAGTAAAGATGAAAGGGGCGCCTGGGCGGCTCAGTCGGTTGAGCCATAAAATGAGGGGGTTCGGCTCGGGTCATGATCTCGCGGTTCGTGGGTTCGAGCCCCGCGTCGGGCTCTGTGCCGACGGCTCGGAGCCTGGAGCCAGCTTCGGATTCTGTGTCTCTCTCTATCTCTGCCCCTCCCCCACTTGCGCTCTGTCACTATCAAAAATAAATACATGTAAAAAAAATTAGAAATAAAGATGAAGGACCTGGTCCTCCAGGGGGCAAGTAGAAGGGAATTCGTCACCTGTCATGGAGTCTCTCTGTTCCTCAACTATCGCAATACTGTAGAAGGGACACAGAACATTCCAGATGCTTTCTTCTGGGCACTTAGGCCAGGGAGTATCCACACACATCCTTTAGTTAGTCCACTTACTCTCAGAAAGATCTGTGGAATTGCCTTTTTCTAAATGGAATAATGGTATATTACATGGTAAAGCTGGCCGTGGAGTCCCATGTGATACCGAGAGCGTTTTCCAAAGAGAACGATGGTTTAGAATTTTGTTTTTAGTAATGCACTATGATTATTGGTAATGGAATTTGCAACTCGGTGTGCCTTTTTTTTGGGGGGGGGTTCTTTTTCAGTTATACAAGCCAAATAACTTACTAGGTGGGTCAAAACTCCTCCCCACAGCACCATTCCGAAAACGGCCAGTCAGGATGTCGTAAAGCCAGTGGGGTCTTGCCTTCATATGCTGCGACCCAACCCCCTCGTTTTATGGCTGAGCCCCCCACTGTTTTCTAGAGGACCCGGGTCTCAGCCCCAGGGAGCACTGGCATTTGGAAGCACCGTCCACTGTTGGTGCTCCCAGCAGGAGAAAATGGACCCCGTCCTGGCGCCCCAGTCCCTGCCCAGGGAAAACAGTTTCCCCACAAAATCGACAGCTCTTCCCGTTCTGCACTTTTAGCCTCTCCCGACTCAACAGGTGTGGGTTTATTTGCTTAGGCATTTTTAGTGCCACCAGGCCTTGACCTTTTTCAAATGATGATATTTCTGACTGCCCACTTCTCTCCCCAAATCATGCCTGAGACCTCATGTTCCTTGATATTGCATACCGTTATCATCACCCCTGATCGATCGGCTGTCTGTCGTCGTCCATAAGTCCATAAAGCCTCCTTTATAAATTAAGTCAGTTCTGTCTCCATGGTGAAATATGTGCCTGGCGGAAATACTTAACATGCAAGACAGCCGGGAAGGACCTCTTCGTCCGCACGTGAGTCTCGATTACTCACCGGAAAATGGAGACGGCTAAGTACCTGGACAATTAATGTTTGCTTTAATTCGCCTACCTAATGACAGTAGATTTGGAAATACTTAAAATAATGAATTTGCTATTAAGAATCGCCTATTACTGTTAACTAGGACTGCTTCATTTTCTTACTGGTGTGTTCGGGTCCTGTGCGGGGCATGGAGGGGCAGATCCCCACCTAGCTGAGGAGAGCTTCGGCCCTAGAGTTTGGCTCGTACTTGGGAGCCATTAAAGGTTGAGGGCCAGGAGCGACGTGAGCAAAATGCTGTATTAGGAAGGCGAACCCGTCAGCGGCTGTGCGCGCGAGCTGGGGGCCCCCCGCGGCCTCAGCAACTCCAGACAGAAGGGCACGTGGTCTGGCTGTGAACCGATGAGTTCCCTGTTGCTGTGACGCAGGCCACGAGGAGGGCGTGGCTGGCGCTTTCGGGTGGTGCTGCATAGTTTTCAAAATACTTTGCCTCTGTTCCCTCCGTGTGCCTCGAGACAGCGGGGCAGAGGACGCTCATGAGATGCACCTGTCCCTGGGTCGCTGCAGTGTGAATGGGGCGGGGTGGGGGGGGGGGGGGGGCAGCTGCTTCCTCGGCTCGCTGGCGGGGATAGGACAGAACAGGGCAGGTCCGATGTAACCACTGACGCGTAAGCAAGCTGAACGCTGGCCGGCTCCGATGTAGCTGGTCTGAAATGCCGGGGCGCGGGGCCGGCGGGGCAGGCTCCCACCTCTGGATGCGGTGATCGTCCGGATGGAGAAGCTGACTGAGGCTGCTTCAGCTCCCTGGAAGGAGTTGCTTTCCTCGTCCTGGTGCGAGCGGGACTCCCATTAGCTCTCTGTGCAAGGGTGGTTCCCGGTGTCCGTCTTTTTCTTCACTCTTGCTGAGCCCAAGTTCCTGAATATGCCGTGTGCAGTTTTCCCGTCTGTATCTTGGCTTGGCAGCTGGGTCCTCTTCTCTTCGTCTGGGCATTGGATGGCTGGCATTGGAGCCCAGAGCCCGGGGCCCCCACAGCTCACAGGGCACCCAGGGGCCGTGGTCGTGACTCACACCTCCCCTCGCTGCGGGCGTTTCTGCTTTGATGCTGCGCCCTCCTCACCTCGGCATGGACGAGGCAGCACAGCGCCCTTGTCCTTCCTCGGGCCTGCAGCCCTTTCCCTACGTGTGGTCCCGACTCTTCCTGCGTGCTTCACGTGACTAACGCCCTGGGGAAAGGACCCTATGCTTGTGTTTCCAGACCCTCCCCGACTCCTAACCCTACGTCTGTCCCTTGGTCCCTGGACAGAGCTTCTCAGGCGTTCGACAGCCGCTGAGCCTGACCCTCCTGTGAGGGGCAAGCCTCGGCGCCAGGACAAATCAGGGTGGAGCCCTTGTTGACCACAGTGTTGGCATAACTGTCCCTTGGGCTTGGCCGTGGCACTTGTCGGGTATCAGGAGAGGGCACGAGCAGGGGAGGCAGCGGCCCTACAGCGTGTGCGCTCACACTGCACCCGTCCGGCCGCCGTCGTCGGGAGCGTCCTGGTCAGCCACCCCCAGACGAACAAAAGGGAACCGGTAAATTCTGTCCCGGAGCCAATGTTCCCACCGAGACAGGACACAAGTAAGAGAGCATTTAGACTTGCAGTTGGAAAGAACCGAGGAGTGGGGGCGGGGAAGCTGGTCTGGAGTGGGAGCAGAATAAACCAGAGAGAAAGTGATCTGATTGGGAGGGGCCGCATCACAAAGGAAAATGGCCACAGTGAGGGGCCGTGAATAATTTAGGGTTATGAGCTGTCCTCCCACACAGCTGTCTGTCTGCTGACCCCCAGAAACAGCCCCTTCTTCTGGTCCATCAGGGCCTGACTCCACGTTTACTACTTACCTGCCTTCCAGAAGCACATCAACCTTTCTGAGCCTCAAGCTCATCTGCCCTGACTCCTTGTGAGAGAAAGGCCTTGAGAGCCCTGAGCTCTTAGCCAGTATCCTGGATGCTCAGGTTGTTCTTGTTCCTCCTTCTGTGGCAACACCCAGTGCCTGGAACCTACTGTATCTGCATGTTTCTGCAGCCGCAGTCGTTCGGAAAGAAACGGGCGCAATCTCTCTGCTGATAGTAAAATCTCAAGAACGATCTGTGCGCCTACTGTGTGCTCAGCGTTGTGTGACGGGCTGTGGCACTGATGCGTGTGCCTACTGTGTGCTCAGTGATGGGCTGTGGCACGGAGCAGGAGTAGGGAACACACCCAACACAGAGTCAAACCTGGGACTTGCGGCCGAGGCGGCGGGGAGAGACTAACATTTGTGAAATAAGAGTGAGCTGCAGAAGAAAGCAGCATCACTGATGTGTGCTCACCCCCATTCATCCACAAGACCCATGTTGCGAGCATGCTTCGGATTGCAGTCGAGACAGAGGAAGATGCCATCGACGTAAAGAGCGGTTTTACTGGGATCTACGTGGTAGGGCCACATCAGAGGCGTTGGGGCTCAGCTGTCTGTAGTGGTTGGAAATGGAGTCCAGCTGCTAGAAACAGACCCAAAATAACAGCTTAAAACAAAATAGAGGTGGGTTTTTATCTTTCTCTCCCCACGAGTGGGCATTCAGCTGCACAGGGTCTTAGCGGCAGCTCCATGGTCACCAGACGGTCAGGCTCCTTCTTTTCACTTTGCCATCTTTAGCGTTTGCCTCATGGTTGCACATTAGCTGCTGGGATGCCAGCGGTCGCGTCCACATTCTATGAGGAAGGCACAGGGGTACACCTTGTGGCCACATATGCAAGTATGTTTGCCTTTGACGAACTTTCTTAGAAGTCCGAAGTCCTACCTACTGCTGACTCATGCTTACAATTCACCGAATATCTCCATGCCAGAAGCCCGGAGAGGTGCTCTTTCCGCCAGATACATTTCTGTCTGTTGCTAAGAAAGGAAGGGGGGACAGATAGTAGAGGGTAGCTGGCGGTTTCTGCCTCGCTCTTTGCAATGACTCCTGCTGCGGAGTCAAACGCAGAGGATATGCAAGTTGTAGATATAAAATCGTACGATCGCCTGTCTCACAGCCAGCCGCATGCAGAGAGCCCCACGATCCTTGGGAACCCCCCACTTAAGAATTAGCAGCAAGCGGCTCCACAGCTCCCCGGGCCCTTGGCCTCAGACCCTCAGCTCGTGGTCTGTTTGGGCACCAGCTGAGCATGCTTGCTGCCCCTGGGAGCCCCTGTCGGTGAGCTTGGGGCTTGGGGTGCCCCCGGCTGCTGGTGCCGCGCGTAGAGAAAGCCTGCAGGCCTGAATTGGCCCTTGAAGCTGCAAAGAGAATAATTTAAATGTCTGCATATTAGAGGGGAAGAGAATAACTCATAAAATTAATTATTTGTCAGCCTAATTTGGAAAGTTATTGGAACGTATACGCACATAACTCTGGAGTCCGTCAGGACGCCATGGGAACAGTTGGAAACGCCCCGCCTCGGGAAGAATAAGGCTTCCGGCCAGCCCGCCTGGTTCTTCCTCCTCCCCTCAGCCAAGCGGCAAGCCTGACCCGTCAGGGGAAATGAGATGTAATTTGTCCCGACTTTAATAAGCTCTTTGGATTTCGCTCCTCTCGAGAAGGCATCAGAATGCCAGGGAGAGCTGGTGCGGCTCGCCGACGTGGGGCTGCATGTGACACGGTGCACAGTCATTCTC